CTTTCCATTCCGGTCTGTGCTTCCAGATGCCATTTCAACCCTCCTTCCCCCTCGAGTTGCCATATCCAAGTCAGGTCTTTGAAGCACCACGCAAGACAACCCAAGTGGGAATTCAGGGCTCCATTTGTCTGACAAGGCTGTAGGAGATCAGCTGCCTGGCCTTTGGAGGGGAATTTTATCCTCAAAGCTGAGACAGAAATACATGATAGCTCCTCCCACCCTTCCGGCAGACCAGAGGGCCATCCAGAGGGAAAGAACAGGAATTCCTGGGATGTCCCCCAAGTGACATCAGGCCCTCTGTCACTCGGATCCCGGAAAGGGCACCAGGACGGGGGAGAGGCTTCGTGGAAGCAGGATAGTGCCTGGGGAAGGAGAGCAGAAGACAGTGGGAAAGGAAGGGGCTTTCCAATGCGGCTCCTGACAGGCTCCCAGCCAGCAGCTCCAGCCTGTAAGAGCTCATCCCTTCCACCCACAGGGGAACACAAACTCCAACCACAGGGACCAACCACGGCCTCCTTTGGAGAAGCTGGTTGAGACATTAAGTGAGCTGCTGTGAGGAATCCACCCTCACTTCCCAAAGGAGAAAGCAGCTCCTGGCCCAGACCCCACAAAGGCCAGTGGAAGGTGTGGAGTCAGTGTGAGAGAGAACACAGGCTTCGAGGATGTCTCTGGGTCTCGAGAGGCTCCAGGTGGGCACCCCAGCTTCCCAGGTGAGCCTAGTGTCCTGTGGCTGCATGGTGGCCCCTCGGATGGTTGCAGAGGGCAGCAAGTCCCTGTTCTCTTGTGGTGGTTCCTGCGAGCCAGGCTCCGTGGTCCCTGGTGTTATCCCTGGTGCTATCCCTGGTGGGCTGTCGTGGAGAGGGGCCCTGGAGTGGCAGCCCCAGAGGCCAGCAGTCGAGGCTGTTGGTCTTGCCCTCCACCATGCTCCTGGGGCACTTTTCATGTCCTCTGTGGCTTCAGCCTCTGTACCGGAATTGTTCTTAGCCCCGGACACTGAGAGGCAGCCTGTGCCTTGGGCCAAAGTCCTGGAAACACAACCCAGAAGTCAGTGGACAAGCGCCTCACAGTCCTAAAACAAGGCTTCCCTGAAGCTGAAGCAGGGGGAAATAACTTTCCTTTCTGTTTTTCTGCAGTGCTTCTCTGGCTCTCATTTCTGCGGGGACCTGTTATCCGGGACCCCTGCTTTATAGTATAATGCCATGAAAGATGTACAGACACAAAACTGAGTCTAAGCTCTTTATTTTTATAGCTTTCATATCACCATAATTCTTTTTTTTTTTTGGAGACAGAGTCTTGGTGTGTCGCCCAGGCTGGAGTACAATGGCGCTATCTTGGCTCACTGCCACCTCCACCTCCCAGGTTCAAGCAATTCTCCTGCCACCACCTCCCAAGTAGCTGTGATTACAGGTGCCTGCCACTGCGACAGGCTAATTTTTTTTGTAATTTTTAGTAGAGACAGTGTTTTACCATCTTGGCCAGGCCGGTCTTGACCAGCCTAACCTCATGACTCACCTGCCTCCACCTCCCAAAGTGTTAGAATTACAGGCGTGAGCCACTGCTCCCGGCCTCATATCAGTATAATTCTCTTCTATATGTCTAGGTCCCAATCCCTTATCAGAACTCTTGGGGCCAAATGTGTTTCAGAATTGAGAATTGTCCAGGCTTTATAAGTTACTAAACTGCATATTGTAGAATAGTCCCAGCAGGTTGGAAGCCTTCTTTTCACGATCTCAGCTCACTGCAACCTCCGATTCCCGGGCTCAAGTAATCCTCCTACCTCAGCCTCCCAAGTAGCTGGAATTACAGGCATGCACTGCCACACCCAGCTTATTGTTTTTTATGTGTGTGTTTTTTTTCTTGTTAGAGATGAGGTTCACTCACCACATTGCCCAGGCTGGTCTCAAACTCCTGGGCTTAAGTGATCCGCCCACCTTAGCCTCCCAAAGTGCTGGGATTACTGGTGTGAGCCACTGCACCTGGCCAGAAGCCCTCTTTAATCAAAATAAATGAGCAAAACAACCACACATACACACTCATAGCTCTGCTGCAAAACTAACAAATGTCCTCCTAATGGGCACAAGACTCTAAATGGCCTTGTGGCAGCTCAGTCAGGTATTATTGCCAGATTTATGAGAAACCTTTCCATTTTCAGAGCTTTCTGAATTTTGCACATTAAACGCAACCTAACTGCAGAGCAGATGGGATTGATAAGCAGCATTCACATGATGTGGTGGGCAGACTGGCATCATGTCCTGGTGGTGCCGTGAATGTGGCCCAAGCTCAGGGGCAGAGGGAAGTGAGGCCTGAAGCCTGGGCAGTCTTGGTGTGCCACACACAAGGCCCTCGGGCAAGCCAACCTTCCTGCATGACAGCTTCTCATTTTTAAAAGAAAGACAATAGATTGATGTAAATAAACATCAATATTAAAATCGAAAATTCCCAGGAATCCACCACCCCAAACTCTGAGAATAAAGTGGGGCAGCAGAAAGCTGGCAGCGACATCCTCTCGGAAGGGGTGCGACACACACCTGCGTCCACCTGGGCTTCCAGCATAGGCCTCCAGGAGCACCAGCATAGAGCAGCTGTGACGGGGCTGTCCTGTGTGACCAGAGGTGGGAACTGAGGCCTGGCTGGTCAGTGCCTCTGGCACCAGGGCTTGTTACCTTAGGTTCACAACAAGACACTGAATAAATAAGGCACAGCTTCTGGGAACATCAGCCTTAAGATTAGGACTGTGTAGTGGTGTAAAATATTTTTGGTGTTTGTTTTGTTTTGTTTCTAGACAGATTCTCACTCTTGTTGCCCAGGTTGGAGTGCAGTGGCAGGATCTCAGCTCATTGCAACCTCCATCTCCTGGGTTTAAGTGATTCTTCTGCCTCAGTCTCCCAAGTAGCTGGGATTACAGGCACCTACCACCATGCTCAGCTAATTTTTGTACTTTTAGTAGAAACGGGGTTTTGTCATGTTGGCCATGCTGGTCTCAAATTCCTGACCTCAGGTGATCCATCTGCCTTGGCCCCCCAAAGTACTGGGATTACAGGCGTGAGCCACTGTACCCGGCCTGGTGATGGTTTATGATGGTGTCATTGTTATTTTTTTTTAAGTTAGAGACAGGGTCTTGCTATGTTGCCCAGGCTGGTCTTGAACTCCTGGCCTTGAGCAATCCTCCTACCTCGGCCTCCCAACGTGTGAACCCCAATGACTGCCTTTATTGTTTATTTTAATTTTATTTTTTTTGAGATGGAGTCTCACTCTGTCACCCAGGCTGCAGTGCAGTGGCGTGATCTCAGTTCACTGTAAACTCCGTCTCCCAAGTTCAAGCAATTCTTGTGCCTCAGCCTCTCAAGTAGCTGGGATAAGAGGCGCCCGCCACCATGCCCAACTAAGTTTCGTATTTTTAGTAGAGACAGGTCTTTGCCATGTTGGCCAGGCTGGTCTCAAACTCCTGGCCTTAAGTTATCCACCTGCCTTGGTCTCCCAAAGTGCTGGGATTACAGGCATGAGCCACCATGCCCAGCTGTCTTTTAATGTGTGTGTGTTTTTTTCCCAAGACAGAGTCTCACTCTATCACCAGGCTGGAGTGCAGTGGCACGATCTTAGCTCACTGCAAACTCCGCCTCCTGGGTTTGAGTGATTCTCCTGCCTCCACCTCCTGAGTAGCTGGGACTACAGGCACCTGCTACCATGCCTGGCTAATTTTTTGTATTTTTAGTAGAGTTGGGGTTTCACCATGTTGGCCAGGCTGGTCTCGATCTCTTGACCTTGTGATTTGCCTGCCTCGGCCTCCCAAAGTGCTGGGATTACAGGTGTGAGCCACCACGCCTATTTTTTTTTTAACATTAAAACACACGTACAACAACACGCATGAACCTCAAGGACCTTTACGCTAAGTGAAATAAGTCAGTCACAGAAGAATGAACACTCCTGTGAGGTTCCTCAAGTAGTCAAATTCACAGAGACAGAGCTGGGGGATGCTGGAGGTTGCAGCGGGGACTGGGGAGCTGTTTTGCGGTGAGGGAGGAGTACTGGAGATGGGCGTGTGATGGTTCCACGTCATTGCAGAGGTACTTAATGTCACCAAATGTACACTCAAAAATGGTTAGGATGGTACATTTTAAGTATTTTACCCAGTAAGACAACAAAAAGCCTACATTATGAAATAAAGTTTTGATTTTTGTGAAACTCCGGAGAAATCTCTACCTGAGGCTTGGACTGTGTCCACACCCCTCAGTGTCTCTGTCCTCTGTTGTTTGAGCAGCTTTAGTGAGAAAGCTGAGGGAGGTTGAGAGACTACGTTATCAAGGCCCACTCGGACGATGATTCGGTTCAACAGCAACAGGGTGGTGCCCCCCGTCCTAGACAGTGCTGGGGGCGCAGCCTCACCCACTTACCTGCAGACCAAGACTCTGGGAGCGCCCCTCCCCCCTCCCCCCTACCCCCCCCCACGCCCCGTCCTCATCTGTAAAATGGGACTAACAGGCCCTACGCATAGGGTGGGGTAAGTACGTGGGGTAAGGATGGGAGCCAATGCCTGTGATGGGCTAAGCATAGTGTCTGCAGCATATTAAGGGACATGCTGTGGCATATCAAGGGACATGGGTTTTATGGGGCAGTACCTTCCTCTGGGGCTTTTCTTGGTTAAATTCAGGGTACATATTAACAACCGCACTATCCTTTATTCTCCCTGCATCCAATGTGGTGACACTGATCCAGGACAAACCCATACATTTCTCCAGATGTCACAGATGTGACCAGGGGGAGGAATCCTGTTTGGATTCATCCTGACCACTGTTTATAAATTCAGGTCTCCCGAGGGGATAAGGCCAGTTGACTTGGGCTCCCCACTCTCCAGCATGGCCTTATAAACAGGGACAAAAGCTGGTTAATGTTTGTTCTTACTCAAAACACATTCCCACACACATGCCCTATTTACATCATTCTGCACGGAAATCCCCTCCTGCAGACCCTGCAGCCACCCCTACAGTCCTTCATTGACTCACCATTTATTGAGCAACTGCCAGGAGCTTCAGAAATGGGGTGGTGCTCAAGCTCCCAGGAGGGTCAGGCAGCCGCAAGGTGGCCCCGAGATCTCTGTATCTGCCATCCTTAGCTCCTGTCACGAGGCTTGGAGGCATCAGGGTGACCGAGGCATTTTCCTTTGCCTGTCCAGGGAGTCACAGTCTGCAGACAAAGGCAGAGCCTGCTCTGAGAGCCACAGGGGTGAGGGAAGACTCCTGCCAAACTGCAGGGAAATGGGAGAATTGGCCCCCAGACCCTCCCAGCCTGGGGCAGAATCCTCAGGCAAAGCAATCTAGAAAGGAAGGAGCTTGGAGTGACAAAAATAGGCTGGAGATGGGAGTATTTTTAGGCCCATCCTGGGAGCGAGGAGTGGAGGGAGGGGCTGCGGGAAACATCTGGGTTGGCCCAGATCCCAGAGGGAAGATGGGGCCAGACTTGTCTCCAGTATTGGGTCGGGCCAGGGGGCCCTCTTCGGGATGGCGAGGCCTCACCCTCCTTCCCACTGCCATGGAGCACTGCCAGGAAGAGACAGGGGAAAGGAGCCCATCAGTTGGCGGGCAGAAGCGGGGCCCCAGGCCTGGTCTTGGTGGCACTCCAGCTCTGTCTGAGACTTAGAATGGGCCTCCCTTCACAGGAATGTTTCCAAAATATGTTTTGACTTAAAAACAAAAATCAATTCATGCAAAAATTACCAAATGCTTGGAGTATGCTGGCGAACCTTAAGTGTTATTACATATCTTTAATGATAAAAGTTGCATAATCACTTGTAACATGTCTATGCCTTATCTCATGAATTTATCTAGAGCACAAGAGGGAAAAGAGGGAATTCTGTCCTTGACAGTTGAGAAAGCAGAGCCCCCAAAGGATGACCTGCCATGTGTGGACAGGCAGAGGAGCCAGGTCTTGGTCTCCTCACTCAAGTGGGCTGCTCTGGCTCCGTCGCCATGGGCCCATCTGAAACAATGGGGCGCCCTGCCGCAGCAGGCAACACCCTACATCGCCAGTGTGAACGGCCTGTGCTGTCGGTAGCACATTAACCTGTGCAGGCTGGCTTTGCAGGTCTGACAGAGGCCGAAGTTCCTACAATATCCTGGAATTAATTTCTGAATGCCCATAGAAGTAACCTGAGAGCCAGAGAAGCCACATTTACAAAACGTGGTATGCACCTGTAGTTTGAGCCACCGAGGAGGCTGAGGTGGGGGGATCACTTGAACTCAGGAGTTCAACACTGCAGTGAGCCATGATCACGTTATTACACTGCAGCCTGGACGACAGAGCCAGACCTTGTTTCCAGAACAACAACAAAAAATTTTCTGGCCCTGGGCGGTGGCTCATGCCTATAATTCCAGCACTTTGGGAGGCCGAGGTGAGTGGATCACGAGGTCAAGAGATCAAGAACATCCTGGTCAACAAGGTGAAACCCCGTCTCTACTAAAAATACAAAAATTAGCTGGGCATGGTGGGGCGCGCCTGTAATCCCAGCTCCTTGGGAGGCTGAGGCAGGAGAATTGCCCCCAGGAGGTGGAGGTTGTGGTGAGCCGAGATCACGCCATTGCACTCCAGCCTGGGTAACAAGAGTGAAACTCCGTCTCAAAAACAAAACAAAAAAACAAAAAACAAAAAATTTTCTGAGAAATTTCTGATTTTAAACCCCTGCTTTTGCGGATCTCTCCTTTACTCTGCACTCTCATTCAATTGACACATCAACATTGCACTCTTTGTACTCGAGTATGCTGTCATTTCACTTTTAACCAGATCCTAAGCTACCCTCCACACCACATACAGAAGGATCTCCTGGGAGGTGTGGCACGGGCTGTTGGAAGGATACGCAACTTACCTAGAGACACAGGAAACCCAGTCTCATTACCCTTGCTTCTTAGCCCTGCTCTAAGTCCCTCCTATTCTCATCACGAACACCATTGTCAGGACACCTAAAACTCAGAAACCTTTCCCAAGTCCTGATGCCTCTGTAGGAGACTCCACGGACACTGCCTAAAAGAGCCATGAAAATGATCGATGCCTCCAATTCCGAAAATAGGGATTAAACACTCCCTGCTTCCTGATGCCCTTAGCAGAGTTGCCAGGAACACATCAATCTCTTAACTACCTCTTCTGAATACCATGGCCAGCTGTGGTTTTTCTGCCATAAATATATTTCTGATTAATCATTTCCAACATTGTATGTGTTACTGTCTTTAGAAACAAAAGGTTTTATTGCGTTTGGGGATGGAGTGAGAGGACATTCTACGCTCTACCAGGTCAATAAAAGTAATGTTGTACAGGCCGGGAGCAGTGGCTCACGCCTATAATCCCAGCACTTTGGGAGGCCAAGGCGGGTGGATCACAAGGTCAGGAGTTCAAGACCAGCCTGACCGACCTAGTGAAACCCCGTCTCTACTAAAAATACAAAAATTAGCTGGGCTTGGTGGCGCGCACCTGTAATCCCGGCTACTCAGGAGGCTGAGGCAGGAGAATGGCTTGAACCCGGGAGGCAGAGGTTTCAGTGAGCCGAGATGGTGCCACTGCATCCAGCCTGGGAGACAGAGTGAGAATCTGTCTCAAAAAATAAGTAATGTTGCTTTTTCCCATTAGTGTGACCTACATAATTTTAAAAAAAACCTCCAGCACTTTTCTGAATTGTACAACATACGTCTTATGTTTATAGTTTGTTCTGACATTTATATTAGTATGGAAGTTATTAGAAAAAAATACCTTTCAGAAAGTATTAAGGATAGCTGCTTTGAGGCTTTTTTTTTTTTTTTTTTTTTTTTTTTGAGGAGTTCTGCTTGTCACCCAGTCTAGAGTGCAGTGGTATGATCTCGGCTCATTGCAACTTCTGTCTCCTGGATTCTTCTGCCTCAGCCTCCCAAGTAGCTAGAACTACGGTCAAGCGCCACCACGTCTGGCTAATTTTTGCATTTTTAGTAGAGATGCGGGGGGTCTCAACATGTTGGCCAGGCTGGTCTTGAACTCCTGATCTCAGGTGATCCACCCACCTCAGCCTCCCAAAGTGCTGGGATTACAGGCTTGAGCCACTGTGTCTGGCCTCCGCTTTGAGGCTTTTATAAGCAGATTTAATATTGCACTCTTCAGAAGTGAGGCATGCTATAATCCATACCACTTTTTTATGAGTTTAGAAACAATGCATTTGCTTCCAGTTTCTTGAAAAGTGTTATTTACACATTATGATACTTTCAAGCAAGAAAACTAGCACAGCTGGATTCATGCGGTCTTTATTAATCTGACAAATACAGGAAAATCTGCAATCAGCTATCAAAATTACATCTTACCAAGAATTTGAAAGGCATTTATAAAAAAGATGTATTCACAGTCTGTCTGAATTAAGTACAAAGCAATGTCCATAGAAGCAGAAGCCAGACAACATGTGAGGGAAATGATCCCACTGAAACCTTCATCCCAGCACCTTCAAGGGTACCATCAACGAGACAACCCTGTACTTGCTACTCTATGCAGTTAATTTGAAACCACCTAGTTTCAACAATTACATATTTCAAAAGGAAAACTGCTTTCTGGGAAATCGTTCCTGCTATAGACTAAGTGGAAATGCTGCCATCAAACATCGGGACCCAGGGTGGACCCAGCATCCACTCAGAGGTGCCCTCCTGCCCGAGGCTGTGGGAGATGGATTTCATGTTCAAGAAAGGAGTTCATTTCAGCATCAGGGTGCTTTTTAATATGCAAATCTGAGGTGTTTCCTGCTAGAGGAGAGGACTGTGCAGATGACCACATGCAGATGATGCTCAGCCGGGAGCCCGATGACAGCCTTTTTGGTATACTCTGGTCAGCAATTTCAACAAGCACTATGAGAGTTGAAACCTGTTTTTTAATCTCCTGTGTTTTAGGAATTTAAAGAGGTGAGAAATCACAAAGATCATTTCTAGGCTCAAACTTATTCTACATGATAGTTTCCATCCCAAGGGCAAACTAAATGTCCAATTTTCAAGTCTCTTTCCAAATTCCATGTTCAGAATACTCTTGGAGGTGAGAATGGCAGGGCAAACTGTTCCTTATGTCTAACAGCAAATTTAAAGAAAAAGCAGTACTTTAGGCCACGCGCAGTGGCTCACGCCTATAAACCCAGCACTTTGGGAGGCCAAGGTGGGCAGATCACAAGGTCAGGAGAACGAGACCATCCTGGCCAACATAGTGAAACCCTGTCTCTACTAAAAATACAAAAAATTAGCCGAGCATGGTGGTGGGTGCCCTGTAGTCCCAGCTACTTAGGCTGAGACAGAAGAATTGCTTGAACCCAGGAGACAGAGGTTGCAGTGAGCCGAGATTGCACCACTGCACTCCAGCCTGGGCGACAGAGCAAGACTCTGTCTCAAAAAAAAAAAGAAAAAAGAAAAAGAAAAAGGAGTACTTTACTGAATGGATTGGTTTCTGAAAGAATCAAAGTATCTTTTATAATACCAAACCCTCAGTAATGGTAAAAGTGGTTATGGACAAATACCCAGTATTTGAGAGAAGTTAAAGAAAGATGTCAGGCTGGGTGCGGTGGCTCACTCCTGTAATCTGAGCACTTTGGGAGGCCGAGGTGGGCGGATCATGAGGTCAGGAGTTCGAGACCATCCTGACCAACATGGTGAAACCCCGTCTCTACTAAACATATAAAAGTTAGTGGGGCATGGTGGTGCTCACCTGTAGTCTGAGCTACTCAGGAGGCTGAGGCAGGAGAATCGCTTGAACCTGGGAGGCGGAGATGCAGTGAGCCGAGATCATGCCATTGTTCTCTAGCCTGGGCGACAGAGCAAGACTCCTTCTCAAAAAAAAAGATGTCATATACCAGAAAACAAGATTATAGCTGAATCCTGAGAATTTATCTTATTCATCTTTGCATCGTTAGACTCCAGAACCTACAGGAACACAGAAGACACTGAATAAATCTTTTCATAGTGGTTTCTGAGCTCTTTTTCTTCCAGGGTTAGATCACAAGTGATCAAATATACAAAGCCTTCAGGGTTATGATCAAAGGCTTCCTGCATTCTTCTAACCCTAGAAGACCTTATTTGGTAGTTCACCTTATATCTCACATTTTATAAATTATATCAAAAATACATACACTGTTTGAGGCCAAATAAAAAACAAGTAATAAACATCTGTTTGGGCATCTATTGCAAAAGGAGGGTTCTTAAAAGCAGAGTGAGAGAGGCCAGGTGCAGTGGCTCGCACCTGTAATCCCAGCACTTAGGAGGCTGAGGCGGGCGGATCACCTGAGGTTGGGAGTTTGAGACCAGCCTGACCAACATGGAGAAACCTCATCTCTACTAAGAACACAAAATTAGCCAGGCGTGGTGATGCATGCCTGTAATCCCAGCTACTCGGGGAGGCTGAGGCAGGAGAATCACTTGAACCCAGGAGGCTGAGGTTACAGTGAGCCAAGATTGTGCCACTGTACCACTGCACTCTAGCCTGGGCAACAAGAATGAAACTATCCTCTCAAAAAAAAAAAAAAAAAAAAGAGAGAGAGAGAGACTATAGAATGGGAATCCAGGAGTCTAAAAGTAAAAACACTGCCTCTTTAGTTGTTGCTTCTGTAGTAAAATCCATCAATTGCTTATTTATGACTGTTTTCTTCCAAGTTGCTTAGAAAGCTTCTATTATTTTCTGATTGAGAAATTTAGTCATTTGGAGTCAGAGCTGTGATTATAGTAACACACACTAACCAGTGAGAATCAAAACCAGGAAGGTGAACCTTTCCTCTCTGAAAAAAAAATTTACAAATCTTCCAAATTTGGTTGGTATTTCCATAGGCGTGCAATGAAATTCTGTAGCCCAGTCAGACTCAGACACTTAGTGGCTACTTTCCTTCCTTACTATCCTCCTTCTTAAGCAGATTGGCTTTGCTGGTCATACTCTGTTGCTGGTTTTGCCCGATTCCATAACCACTGCCTCTCCCATGTGTGTGAAGGCACATCCTTATGGAAATTGCTACTGTTCTTTCCAGTGACAATCTATTTTTCATGGTGGAAGACCAGCATTTTGATGTTTTAGGAATGATTGAACTAATTCTAAAAAGAATATTTGAAGGAAAAGTTCTCTTCCTAAGTGATTTAAAGAAGTAAGATGGGCTGTAGTCTTAGCTACTCAGAAGGCTGAGGTGGATTATTGAGCCCAGGAGTTCAAGTCTAGCCTGGACAACACAGCAAGATCCTGTCCTTAAAAAAAAGTGGGGGAAAGATAAGTTCTCTTTACACTGTCTTACAATGTGGCTCTAACTTGGAGAAAGAGAATAATTGCCATCTTTCTACACAGGACAATCAATAATACATAGAATGGATTTAAATACACACACCCCACGTACCCTCTTCAGAGGAGAAACTTACCATGAAAGATGCAACACATTTGGGATCCTTAAAGAAATAAGCTGGTCTAGATTAGGATCCCTCAAGATGCTTCAAATCACAAATTGCTATTCAGCAGGCTCTGCTGTAGCTGTGCTTTCTCAAGGACAATACCCACACTGCCATTATCTGAGAGAAGGAATGAATCTTGGAAGGAGGAAGTTTCACGGAAAAAATGAATTGAGATGATAGAACCTACTACTTTAAACCCCATTTTCTTTGCATAACTCTTATTTTTCCTGTCTCTGACTGCCTAATATAAGCCAATTTTAATTTAAGCTCAGGTTAGTACTAGCACACTACTCTTGAAGTTAGTTTCTTATAAAAAATATCCTGGGACAGAAAACAAATATTCTAAACTCCAAAGAGAACTCTAAACCAGATCAAATCATATGTTAGATTGGGAGAGAAAATAGCAGGCAAAAGAGGGAAAAGCTGGCCCCTCCTCAGCCACAGGAGGAAAATAAGTTTCTCACAAACTTTTCCAGTCTGATCAGCATGGCTATGGACTCTTTGTGGCAAAGAAGGTTGTGTCCCCGCAAGGCTTGTCCAGAGGTGCCCTAGGCCCACAGGCTGATGGCTGTTTGTGTGCTTTGCCTGACTGAGCTGCCTAGAGCCTAAACTCCATGGTAGCTGCAGCAGACACCTCCACTACCCAGTTCACACAAAGGTACATTGAGAGGAAAGGTAACACAGACAGAGACCACAAAGCACCCATTGTGGAGCTGGTGAGGATAACCTGAAACTCCTCCTTGACATTATTAGCTCACTGATCCCCTTCGCTGCTGGAGGCCCTTTCTCTTTCCTCTTGGCAGTTGGTTCTCCTTTTGCCCTCAGGTTCTCCCACAGCTAAATTATGGCTTTCCTCAAACTCTTGCTTTCTGTTGATACAACTAGTTCATAACTCATGAATCACCAACTTTTGGCTATTAGTTCAAATTCTGACCTATAGTGTAGCAAAAACAAAAACAAAAAACCAGGACAGAAAGTGCTTCAACAGCCATTTTACTCTTCTTTAATTCTACTGTCTTTGGGCATACATTTCATTTGCTATGGAAACGGTCTAACAGCAGGGCTGACAGCACCGATTCATAACACATTCTTTTCATCATACAAAGAGTAAAACCCTAGAATAATGGGATCATCTGCTACCACAACAGAGCTGCCTTACTGGCTGTAGAACAGGACTGCTTGAGTGGGAGCAAGAAGAATGAGGAGAGAGGAGGCATCTGGGGCAAGTGAACTTACGAGTATGTCTACAAATTCAAAATTTGGTGGAAAATCCAAAATTGACTTCAGGATGATAGAGAATCGATGGGAAATAGTTCTGTGATTTCCAAAATGTATTAAATTTGAAACCTGAGGTTAACACTTTTAGGATAAAGCAACCTCAGGTTCAGACTGGCCTTGGGAAGAAATGGCAATCACAGATGGTAATGAGTGTCAGTGCTTGAGAACAAAAATTGCCAAAGTCAATCTACACATCTGACTTGACTCAAAGAGCAGGGGAAATGAGTCTCATTTGAAAAGGATGAGTCTGCAGCAAAAAGTCAAAGGGAAGCTGGAGCCCCTGCCCACCCTCTCCATTCCGCTGCTGGTGCCTGCTTTTCCTCACAGTACCTCCTGAAAAGTTCCAAATTCAGTTAATACAGATTTATTGGGTTGATTTTCAACATGTAGTTTAAGATGAAGAGTTCCGTTCGGTTTAAACCACTTCAGCTAACCTCTTGGTAACAGTAGTCCTGAGAATCCGCAGTGTTGGTGGAATCTTCCTGCGACGGAGGGAAAGCTGCTGATGGAGCACAGCAACTTCCAGGCCCATCATGTCTCCTTGACCTCGTCCCTCAAATCTGGTAGTTTCTGCACCGAGGGACACAGTCTACTGTGATGGAGTATGTTCAAAATTGTTTTCTATAGGCACCTCCTTCCAATGTCCAATAGTGCAGGCGGTCAGGAAAACTTGGAAGGAAGCTGCAGAAGTCCAGCCGGAAATCTTGACTTTGTTAGATGTGGACACAGGAAAGTCACCTTTGTACTCCCCAGATTTTGTTATAGTCAGAGGAGAAACATCCATGGGATTCTAACTGCAAGTATGCTAGATATAAAATTGATGGAATGCTAACTGGTCCATAAAAGGCTGTACAAGATAATCTGTGGCAAAGTAGAAAACAAGCCCAAAGGTGATAGAGATTGGAAGAGCTGGCAATGCTTTCTTGAAAATGGCGAGGAGTAATAATGTAAGGCACAAACCCTGTGGAGAAAATTGAAAAGATACACATTCACACATAATTATGAAGGCATTTTCAGGTAACATGCAATCACAAGTCTTGATTTTTAACATAGTTAACTGAGTATTTTCCTTCAGGGTTAAATTTTAGAACAGACATTTCATTAAATCTGGAAGAGCTATGAAAAAAACTTAGCTTTTGTTTGTTTCGTAGGGTTCACTATGTTATTTTATTCATTCACATTATTTTATCCACTAATTCTAGGAAAGAAAATCTGAAAATAGGGGGGCAGGATAAAAAAAAAAAAGAATATCTGAAAATAAGTTATTTTGAAAAAAATTTTAAAAATGCAGAAATTTATATAGTAAATACTGTGTTGGCCTCTGTGATTTTAGTTTGGCTGGTTAAAAACCCAGATGTGAAGCATTCATTATGCTGTGCGCAAGCATTCTTCCCGCGCAGGCTCCTCCATGAAACATGGCGAGGTTGTAGTGTTTACAAAATAAAATAAAATAAAAGTTTATTTATAAGGAGTATATTGCTTTCTTGTAAACACAGAGCAGCATATAATAGAGTTCATTTTTTACCCTAGTTACTGAAACACTAGAAAGTCTGGAGGCTAGGTACCATTTCAGTTTATTCAGAGTAAGTAATTTTCTTAAGAGATACAACACATACTACTTTCAAATCCAGATAATGAACCTCAAAGGAGAAGTAAAACACATCAAAATCATGATAAACCCCAAATGTAATCACAAAATGAATGCATAAGCAGTCTTCTCCAATCTCTCATCTAATTTCACTCACATACTAGATGTCAAACGTATCACATCTTTTTTTTTTCTTTTTGAGACAGAGTCTCACTCTGTCACCCAGGCTGGAGTGCAGTGGTAAGACCTCCGCTCACTGCAACCTCCACTTCCCAGGTTCAAGGGATCCTCCTGCCTCAGCCTCCTAAGTAGATGGGATTACAGGTGCACAGACACCATGCTCGGCTAATTTTTGTGTTTTTTTTTTTTTTGAGACGGAGTTTTGCTCTTGTTACCCAGGCTGGAGTGCAATGGCGCGACCTCGGCTCACTGCAACCTCCGCCTCCTGGGTTCAGGCAATTCTCCTGCCTCAGCCTCCTGAGTAGCTGGGATTACAGGCACGTGCCACCATGCCCAGCTAATTTTTTGTATTTTTAGTAGAGACAAGGTTTCACCATGTTGACCAGGATGGTCTCGATCTCTTGACCTCATGATCCACCCCCCTTGGCCTCCCAAAGTGCTGGGATTACAGGCTTGAGCCACCATGTCCGGCCTTAATTTTTGTGTTTTCAGTAAAGACGGGGTTTCACTGTGTTGTTCAGGCTGGTCTCAGACTCCTGACCTCAGGTGATATGCCCACCTTGGCCTTTCTAAGTGCTGATTTTACAGGTGTGAGCCACCGCGCCCGGCCGAGATATCATATCTTCAGTAAAAATAGCAGTAAGAAATATTTTATTGGTCATTTACTTAAATCATAGTTTTGAAGTTGGGCGCAGTGACTCACGCCTGTAATCCTGTAATCCCAGCACTTCGGGAGGCCAAGGCAGGCGGATCACTTGAAGTTGAAGTTTGAGACCAGCCCGGCCAACATGGCGAAACCCCATCTCTACTAAAAATACAAAAATTAGCCAGGTGTGGTGGTGCATGCCTGCAGTCCCAGCTACTTGGGAGGCTGAGACAGGAGGATCACTTGAAGCTAGGAGACAGAGGTTGCAGTGAGCTGAGATCATGTCACAGCACTCTAGCCTGTCTCAAAAGAACAAGACTGTCTCAAAAAAAAAAAAAAAATCATAGTTTTGAAAGCTTCAGGGTTCACGCTGTAGCACTATTAGCAAGATCTATGTGGGGTCATGCATGGCACTAGCTCCTCTCACTAGATGTTTCCTGCCTTAAGTAACACTGTATGCTACAGGCTGTGTCATTAAATGCAAAACCACCACCAAACTCTCAGTGACTAAGTCCCTGGGACTAAGTGAGGATCTGTTTACCCCTGGAAGACTGATCTTGCAGAACTAATTTCCTACATATCTGTGTGCTGGGCTTGAGGCAGTGGTTCCTATACAGAAATATTTACCAGAATTTCCTGGGGAAATTAAATAAGAATATCTCAGGGCAGAGCTTAGTTTTAAAAGCTCCCAAGTGACTGCAATGTGTACTGAGGCGAGATCCAATTATCAAAAAGCTCCTCAGATAACTGGAACATTTAACCCATGGGGTTAAAACAGAACTGCCTTAAAGGGACTGTGTAATTGGAGTTTTGACATTAGGGGTTCAGACACATTCTTATGAGTGTACACTTACAATTAATATGGCTACAAAACAGGCTATGGTTGTGTTCCAGTCTCCACTGGCTGTTGCTGAGGCTTTACCAACCAGAACACTGTAGAAAATGAAATCTCCCAATCCAAGTTTTACTCCCCCTAAAAAGGAAAGATTACAAATATAAAAAAGTTGGTCACTCTTTGCTATGACTTCACAATTCGAAAATATCACTGCCCTACTCAACCCCACAATGAATGAGAAAAGTCAGTGAATGATACACAAAATTAGGCTTTAGCTGGGTTTTCTTTCTTTTTTGGTTTTCTACAACAGGAGTTCCAGATTCTATGTGACTGTCTCTGGAGTCTTAAGTATAGATGCTGCCATTTATCAATAACAATAAGTAATAACTCTCATCTATTGAATGTCTAGTTTATACCCAGCACTTGTACTAAGAAATTCTTACAAGGATTCTTATGAGATAGGAATCACTTTATCATCTTATTTTTTTAAAAATGGCTTCATTGGGCTATGATTTACGTCATAAAACTTTAAGAGACAATTCAATGATTGTGGAAAATTTATAGAGCTGTACAACTATCATCACAATCCACATGTCCATCGCCCCAATCAGGTACCTTGTACCTGTTTACAGTTAACTCCCCTCCTACCCTAGGTCTTAAGCAACCACTGAACTGCTTTCTATCTTAATAAATTTGTCTTTTCTACACATTTCATATGACTCATACAATATGTGCCTGGCCTATTTTACATAATATAATGCTTTTGAGGTTTATCCATGACATTGCATGTGTCTATAGTTTCTTCCTTTTTATTGGAAGTTACTGGAAGCTGAATGGTCTTCCATTATATGGTTTGCTTATCCATTTACCAGTTGATGGACATCTGGATTGTTTT